TTGTGAATGACCCAGAGTAAGAATGCTGAATCTTCCCACTACATTTAACAACCTAGCGTGTCCCAAGAGCCCAGTTGTTGGGGAAAGAAGACTTGGAACACAGTCTCCTTCTCTTTCTCAAAATGAGAAGTGGCGTCTTTAAAATTAAAGGTCCCTGATATGCTTTTAGAACCATAATAGTTAAGGCAAAATAGTTATTAGTGTTTTGCAAGTTACTGAGGTAATGATAAATATTAATTGGGGTTTTAAAAACTAGACATTTTAATTCCAAAGTCACTGCCTAACTCTATTTTATCAAAACAGATTTTCAGTAAAGTGTTATCCATGAAAACTGTTTACTTAAATGAAATACATTCATGCTATAATGCCCCAGATGCTTCATAAAGTGTGTGCAGTTTTTCTGTAGTGTGAAGATAAAGCATATGGTGTTCTACTTTCAGAACTGGAATTACTTTTCTGATAATGAGGCAGAGTGTGTTAAGATGATGGAAGAAGTAGAAAAGCTTTGCGATCGTCTTGAGTTGACAAGGTATGTATTCCTGACCTACGAGTTATGTTTTTCGACCTTCAGCTTTCTGCTAGATCTGAAATATCGTTCAATAATTTATTTTTAGTCTGCAGTGCTTGAATGAAGCACTTACATCCACAACAAGGGAAGAAGGAAAGGCTGCTGTAGAAAAACAGGTAATTATATTAATCTTTTGTCCTGTAACAGTGAATCAACCTAGTGAAAATATTGGTGTGCACCCATTTCAAATAGGCCTTATGTTGCATTGGAAATCATTTGCTGGGCAGAATTGCAGCTCTCAAGAGACTGCAGCTGTCTTCGCAATAAGGGCTGCTTAATAGTACTTGCCGAATCTAGGAGAATCTATATACAACAGCTGTACGCTGTCCAGAGGGTTGCTGATAAATCTTCGAACACAACCGTTCTGTATGCTTGAGGAAAATAGGGGTGCTGCCTCTGTCTTGGGGACAGCAGGAGATCATTTGAAACATCATGTCTGAATGTTTTAAAAGATGGTAAAAGCACACTTGTGATCCTGTCTGTCCAAGAGTATGGGCTTGAGCAGTGATCAAGCTGTATGCAAGAGTGACGTATTCCAGCAAAACGATTACTACTGGAGGAGGAGTGGTGGGGTGAGGACTGGGTCACTGCTTGTTCAGTTAGATGACTGAACCAAATCGAAATCTTCCTTGTGGTTGCATCATGCATTGGTGGTTGTCATTTGTATGTGGTGAAATCCTGGCTCCCCAAGGTGATGACACAAATTCCCCCTTTCTTCAGGAGCCTAGTGTGTTCTCCCTCAGAGCGAGCAAAACATCTAAAATTCTATGTGCAGTTCATTTGCACACATTTAGAGAAAACTTACTTAATCATGTTTGTGAAAACATCATTTTAAGCTGTGTTAAGGTTATTAAAATTGCTTACCTTTGCAGTTGCTATCTTTTCTAACTTGCTCTGAGTTTTGTTTGTATTGGCAGCCAATGGACTTCTTCTCCAACAGTGACAATGGAAACAAAATGAACCAGGGAACTTGTGGCAGTTCTCTAATTCTTGGGAATTATTGCATTTGCAGTAATTGTATTTTTATATTCACATAGATAAATGAAGTAAATGAACAGATCAAAAGAGAAAGAGAAGAAGCAGATGCTCGTATGCGACAAGCAACAAAGAGTTCTGAGAAATCAACTAGTGGAGTTGTTGGTGGAAGTAAAAATTGGTCAGAAGATGACTTGCAGTTACTGATTAAAGCTGTAAACCTTTTTCCTGCTGGGACTAACTCAAGGTAGGTGAACAGATATGCATTACTGTAAGTAGTCCTAAAGTCTAAAAGAAGAGCAACCAAGAGGTTTATTTTTATCTATATAGTAGTTAACTTGATTCGTAAATATTTAAGTGTTGCTCTTACCTGTCAAAAACATTTCCTCCCCAGGGATATTCAGTGTCTTTCCAGTGAATGTTGACTACCTTCACATTTTCTCCTTATAAATATGATTGCATTATTTCAGCAAGAGTGATTTTGTGTGTTAGGGAATGAGCCAATGTATCTTCAAGGGACTGCCCATCCCACTTTAACAATTTATTTTTAAAAGTTTCTGCCAAGTATTTGTATTTGTCCTTGAAATTATAAAATATATGCATAAAGCACAGCTGATAACTTTATTTTTAAAAATGCCTATGTGAAATCCGGAAACCATTCTGCTGCATCCCAGAAAAAATTATCTTTAACTTTTACCTTAAAGTATAGTTTCTTGACAGATTATACGTGTTTGGTGCTTGTTTAAAAAAAAAAACTGGTCCGGCAGTTACTGCGTGAATTCACACATTCTTTCAAGGGTGTTTGTAAAGCCTTTTTTCCCCTTGTGTTTATTGTAGGTGGGAAGTTATTGCCAATTACATGAATTTGCACTCTACTTCAGGAATAAAGCGAACAGCAAAAGATGTTATCAACAAAGCAAAGAGCCTCCAGAAACTTGGTATCTTTATCTTTGTAAGATGGTCTGCATGCTTCCATTTTATTTACTAGTAAATTCAACTTACGTTCTGTAAGCTGCTACATTCCTCGCTGCTATTACCAACTCCCATTTCCCTCTCCCAGTCTGAAATAGGATCAGGTATGTGCAGGTAAACTGCTGTACCAGTCCAGTCCACTATACCACCCTCTTGACTGGACTGCTCCTGGTATACTAGCTGCCATTTTGACAAGGCCTTACATCCTTGAATGAAAGATAGGTCTTACTAGTAAAAGGGGTGTGTCGAGCTGTGTGTGCCAAATTCTACCTTTCTGTCACTGGGAATCTATATTTAACATTTAAATGTTCCTCATGAGGAAAGCCTAGGTCTCTCTCTTGACATAACTTTAAAATAATGTAATATGCTGACCCTTGGGAAGAAATATTTTCTCAGCTGTTACAAATAGTTTTCTGTTCCCTAGAAAAAGAATGATAAGGGATCAGATTAATTGATGGGGGAAAGTACTGCTGTAATTCAGTTTAAAGGTAAAAATAGAGGGATATTACAAGGTTTGTATCACTGATGACACAATTTGAATGTCTAGGTCCCTTACCTTTGGCCTTTAAATATCAAACAATTTACTGAAAATGGTTGGTTTGAGGCATAATTGTTTAAAAGATGAAATGTTTTCAGTAACCAGTTTCTTATCCACTTTAGACCCACATCAAAAGGATGACATAAATAAGAAAGCTTTCGATAAATTTAAAAAAGAGCATGGAGTAGTACCACAGGCAGAAAGTGCTACACCATCAGAACGTTTTGAAGGTAAAGAATTATTCAACAATCATTTGATATTTTGTGTAACATTCTGCCTCTGTATTACATTTTGTTAAGACCCATGTGGTCAGGTCTGCTGGTGGATGCTTTTAAAAGTATTTCTAGGGTATGCCATTATCATGGCCCGATACAATCGGTATGGCTGAAGATAATGCTAGGGCTATGTACTTAATGTCTTTCTCACTACTTCAGCGGAAATTCATAGTTTGGGGAGCTGTCATATCCAGTCAAGGTACTCCTTCTGAAACCTTGTGAACATGGAAATCTGGGTAGAATAGTTGTGGGAAGGCAATGGTATTTGCCTTCCATGGTTGACATGCAAAACATTCCAGAGCAGCCTTCTCCCACCAACCTTCAACTCTCATCAAGCAGCATGGACAGAGTACTCCAAAATATCTAGAAGGCATCAGGTTAGGTAAAGGGTGCTTTACAGCTTGGAATATAGGCATCAAGGAGAGGAGGTGCTAGATAATTCTCCAGTAGACACCTTAAATCCTCTTATTTGCATTTTCTATATTGCTTTCAACAGCCTCATTTACAGATTCATCTCCTTGGACAACAGAAGAGCAAAAACTTTTAGAACAAGCTCTGAAGACATATCCAGTAAATACTCCTGAAAGATGGGAAAAAATAGCAGCTTCTGTTCCAGGCAGATCTAAAAAAGACTGCATGAAGCGATATAAGGTAGGGAAACTATGTTTTTTAATGTTGAAAATATATACACAATATGCTGAACAAGCTTCAGAGTATTAACTTCTGGACAGAAGACTGCTTGCTCCTTTCCACACCAGTAATTTAGTAAACCATCAGTGCTATAGAAATATTCTTCAAAAATAAATCTTTAACCAAGTTGACAGTGCCTTACAACAGTAAAGCAAGTCATTATTAACTTATTATGGCAAGACATTATTATATACCTGATCCTTAGCAAGCTCCCCTTATTAGTGGTAGGACTGCTGAAAAAAAGTAATCAATTCTTCTATGCCAAACTGGCCATCCTTTAAGTATAAAATAAATTAATGGGGATTGGTTAGCAATCGAGATCAATTCTCACCACCACGGGGGAGGGGTTTCTCTAAAAGTGGGCTTATAAAACTTGAAAGTATAGCGCTTTGCTGCTTGTATAGAACTACAGCAGGCTCACTGTAGGTGTATAGCTCAACACTGAATATTTTTAGAGTGTAATCCTATGCAAGCTAGCCAGAAAACAGCTTACAGCTCTCCACTTATCCCAGCTAGCTGGGGCATCCCAGGAGTTGTAGGCCTTATTTTCTGTCTTGTCTGGATAAGATTGCACCTTTAGATAATTAACAGTTTGCTCAAATCCCAGCTTTGAATCTGATCTGTTGGTTCGTATCAGCAACAGGTTAAGAAAAGTTAATCAGAAGATGATTAGTTGCTAGTGGGACAGAGTGTAATACATGTTTGGGCATTTCCCTCTCACTGCTTAATTGAGAGCTACCAGTTATGAATATTTATAGAGAATGATTGCTTGAAACTTGGTCTGACTTTTCTAAGACTCAAGTACTTTTTTCTAGCTGCTCAGTATTTGTAATACATCAGAACCTGATGGATTAAATGAACTTAATATGAACAACCCTCTGTTTGTCTCTTTCTTTAGGAGCTTGTTGAAATGGTTAAAGCAAAGAAAGCTGCCCAAGAGCAAGTAGTGAATGCTGCTAAAGTTAAGAAATGAAATTCTGAATGACAATCAATAAGTGTTTTGTTTTATAATAAAAATACAAATACAGAGCATGACTTCTTTTTTTAGTTGATTATATAGTTATTTGTGCCTGCAATAGCAAATGAACTTCAATCTTATTTCAAAAGGCATTAGGACTATCAGAACTGAAAACCAAATGTCATGTTCAGCTGTGTCTTGTACAGTTCTAAATGCTTATCATCTTCCACATAGATAGCATACTCTGTTTGATGTGGAACTTCACAAGTAGGCTTTAGTTGAGGGGAAAAATCAATTTGCTTGTCTTAGAAGTTTAGAGAGCTATCAAAATCTCCCCAAAGCATCCATTAAGCCTCCAAGATAGATTTTTGATAAAGGTCAAACTCAAGGCCAGTTCATGCTGCTACGGAGTCTGTTGTAATCAGGCAGTTTTTCAAGTGGCCCTGCAATTTCAAAAACAAAAATAAGTATTTCAAAGCAGATATTACTTTTATAGAAAGAAAGAAAGATAGCTACTAAGGAAATCCTTACCTACAGCTGCAATTGCAGGGCACTTATCATAGATATACTTTGTGCAGACATCTCTGATAATCTGAGCATCAATTGCCTGGAATAAAGTACACCATCTTATTTTCTGCCAGTTTTACTTAAAATGTCAGCATTTAAAGTATAAGGAACAAGAACTGCTCTGAAAGCCAAGACTGAATCGCAGCATACAAAGACTCAGAATTTGTAGCTGTTACATTAATGTGCTTTTAAAAGAGCAAAATGGTTCTTACTTCAATTCTTGCTTCAAGTTCAGGAATTGGGATTCGACGATTGTAACACAGCATTTGTCGTCCAATGTCTTCACAAATAGGAGTGGACCCTAAGATTAAAAATTCTTAGTATGTATGCAAATCAAATTGGACATAAAGGACAAACACAAAGATAGCTCATACCATCCAATTGTAGGAGCATGTTGGTTTTTAGAAGATTCTTAGCACGTGCTACCTCACTTTCAGTAACACTAGTGCATAGTCGAACCCTGTAAGATGAGAAGAAACAGAATATTTAAATTGTTTGGCTACCAAACACCCCTTATTGTACACTTTACAAGGTCTACCTGAAAGAAACAACTGTACAATATAAATAAATTAGAAACTGAGTAGCTTTCAGTGGCATGTTCCTGTAAGCCCCTTCACAGGCAGAACAACTCTGAGAAACAAATAGGTTCAAATGCTGCCTCAAAGCCACAACTGGTAACCTTCTGCCAGGCTCTAAAGCAAACACTAACTGTAGCCATGAGCACATCTATGCCTGTGCAACTTCACTGCTTTGTAGAGGCAAAGTGCAGGGGCACTTGCATGCTATCTTGTGGAGAAAGTAAGAGCCATGCTAGATCAGACCAAAGGGCCATCTAATCCAGCATTCTGTTCACACACGAGCTAAACACCTGCCTATGAGAAATGCACAAATAGGACATGAGTGCAACAGCAACAGCCCACTCATTATCCCCCAGCAACTAGGATACATAGGCATACAGCTTCTGATATCAAAGGTAGAATATAGTCATTTGTAGCGTGGCCTCCTGTATCAACTTCAGCATAGCACCTACTAGGAAGAGCTAGAGTCAAACTTCCCTTCTTAGCAACAACCAAGTTTCATTTAGGATTAAGTTTAAATTTGCACTATGTGAAGTTTACAATAAATATTCATCAGATGATTGTCACAGAAGACCAATGCCATATATGTATCCAATACTGCTCTACAGTGACCTAACTACTTCCATTTCAAATCAGCTATTTCAGAAATGCTTATTTTTTTACCATTCTTTCTGAACGAAGTGCATCATTTCCTCCATGGTGGAGCCCTCACAAACCATGTAGACACCCCAGAGTCCAGTATCTGTGTAACAGGTATTGAAGGACTGGAAACTATGACAAAGGTTGCCATGGCACACAACTTGAGCAAGTTTACTGGACAGATTCTGTTAAAATAAAAAGGGGAATATATTTTGTGGTAGAATACACACTTTCAGATTCAGTAAGCTTAGAAACCAGTACCATTGGTTTAGGTAATTATTTTAGTATATACATTCCAGTTTTGCCCCATCACCCATTCCTAAGTGATAAATTGAACTATCAGCTGGGCAACCTGCAACCCTCCAGGTGTTGTTGAGTTCCAGTTCTCCGCTTCAGCCAATGGTCAGGAATGGTGACAGAACAGGACTACCCACCCCTGGGTTAAATGAATAGTAGAGTCCTAAGAGGATTGATGGCTGTTGGAAGAAAATCTCATTTCCGCTAAGACCAGCATTACTTAGTATTTGCAGAAATACTAAGCTTTAGAGAACTGCCTGACTGGCTTGATTCACACTTAAGTCAGATGCTACTGTGGGTGAATTTCCTTTTGAGGCTTTTGTTGTGGCAGGTACCATTTTGAATAATTGGGGCACAATGGGGGCATGCCATAGCTTCTCATTGCATGTGACCATGGTGTGGGTGAGTTGTTGGCAAGCCACCCACAGCCCTGAAACAGCCTATAACTGGGTTTGCATGATGACCAAGGGTGCTGCTTGCAAGCTGCCCAATGAACATAATCGCCTTTACCAGAAACGTTGTCATGAACCAGATGAAGGTGGGTGGGTGGAGTGGTTTACAAACCACTGTAAAACCCATGAAACCCATGGCTTATTCTAGGCTTTTCAAGTGATTTGTCAACCATGTCAGCTGCCACCTGTCACCTGGCTCACACATAACAAGCTACAGCATTCCTCAAGTACTCAAAATAATGGCTGCCACAACAACAAAATCACCCCACATGGTGGCTTCTCATGTGTGAATCAGGCATTTCTTCCTGGTATATATGAGAAAAGTCTCCCTCTCCCCAACAACCACTTTTTAATGAAGGAAAAAAATCCTCTCTGCCCCATCACATTTAGCTTAGCTCTTACAGCAAAGGAAGAGGAACTTAATCATCTTGGGGACCTCAAATAGCTACACCTCCTTCCCTCAACCACCAATTATCTGATGTTTTCCTGGCTTTTGTGCAGTTTTTGGTGAATTAGGAAATGCCTTTCCTAAGTTTTAATTTCTAGCAGTAAGGTTTAAGCTAAAAATATGGTGGTATTTATGTCTTATCCACAAAGCTTCCTTGAAATGGAATTCAGCTTTCAGGCTGAAAGACAGTCAATACCCTTGCCTTATGGCAACAGGACAAGTGTGTTGGGCTCAAGGATTGATTTTAAACTGTACACGTCTGCAGAAAGAAGCAGGATATTAAGTTCCATGATGATACAATAAGATACAGCTTGAGCTGGGCTAACACTGCATAAGAAGCCATTATAGAAGCGACTGACATAGCAACAATCCTTTATCTAAAACAGAATAGCAACCTTGATGCCAACTCACCACACCACTGCCAAAAGAACGATCCCAGTTGCCAATCAGAGTATTTGCCACCATCAGAGGAATAGTGTCTGGGTGACACCAGCCAGCAGCTTCAACAGCAATTGCAATATGTGCCAAAGGCATTTTATCATCTTGCACTCGAATCTGATCAAGTACCACAAATATACAGCTTTAGAAAATATTGAAATACTATTAATGCAAAATAAATTTAAACAGCCAAAAAAACCCCCTCAACATGTCACAACAGTGCCATAATAAAGTTTAGCTAAGCAAAATACCTTAGAAATGTTAAATGAGCACGGGAAAGAAATCAAAGCACAGGAAATAAAGTCTAAAAACCGAGTAAATTTTGAATTATTTATGTTATCTGCATTTTTCACTGATGTTACTTCCACTCCTTTATCAAGCTTCTGAGCAGGTTTTGCAGTCAGACAAGAAGTTCAGCTAACCAGGTTTCTTGCACTGTCTCTGCGTTATCAGTCATTTTTCAGCTGCTGTTCCTATAGCTTATTTGAAATGAAAAGGCCTCAACTTACTTCACTGCCTGTGAACCGACAAGGAGGCAAGGCTGGTGCTCCTTCTTTCACAATAGACGGCAAGTTACCAAAATGGTACTTCGCTAGTTCAAGCAGCTCATCGTGAGCAACTCCTAAATAATTGACATACAACTACAATTTAGCTGAAACAGACATAAATGAATCATATACTAGAGCAGTTAAGTATTTTGATTTAAAGTCCAACATTCTTATACAATGAATCCACTTCTGAGGATTTTATTGTCCTATGCTTAGAAATGAGATGTATAGGATCTGAATCAACCAACATGTTCCTGCTATTTCCTAGCCCTTTACTTCCTAAAATTTACTACACTGAACAGGAGAAGTGAAGCTGCTTATTTGAAAATATTTTGCAAATTCTTTTCTAGGACCTGCCTTCCATTGATGAAAGGACCATGCTTGTGGAAGATGCCTTTGCCCAGCTTTCAGGGATCCCTCCTCCCCACCTCTCCTATGCACCACAGCTTACAGTTTGAGGGACTGCCATGGTGAAGAGGGGCAGGTCCACTTTCATCAATCCAACTGTATGCTGTTAAATCTTGATTCAAACCTCCTTTTCTAACTTCTGGGGTACAGTCACATCGCCAGCTTAGGGCAATAAACCCACAGCTTGCACCTTCAGGCCTACCAGGCTAGGAATGGTGAAGAAACCCAGGATAAATTACAATTATCTCAAATAAATATGACATATGCCACAAACATGTATCTATCATACACACCTCCAGCAGCAGCAAGTACCATCCGGGGTCCTTTATAATGTGTTGTAATATATTCCACCAAATCATTGCGGTTAATAGACCTGTAAGCAGAAAAATGGAAGGCAAGAGGGGATATGCTTCATTAAGTTCAACAAAGTGACATAACCTACATTAACCCAAGCACTAGTATAGTATCATGTACTCTGAGTTGTTGCCCCTGCATGAAACCTGCTTACCCTCTCTGCCAGTAAGAATTCATGCATTCACCTTCCAGCTGAAAGAAAGGAAGGAAGCACACTCTGGCCTCTGCCATCGGCTAGGAGACCAAGACAACTGGGAGGTTGCACCCTGACTTCCAAGAAACAAAAGTCCTGGTCTCCCAAGGAGAAAAGCCTGGCCATCAGTAAACAAAGAAGCAGCTGAAGAAAGCTTGCTTGCCTGCACTCCATGCCAAAAATCACCCTCAGCTCCAGCTACCAGTACCCCTTGGACTGCAGGGGTGAAGAGAAGCACACTTTGGCCCCATCCATTGGCCAGCAACCGAAGGTCTGCCGGGTTGTACAGCTCTGGGATTTGTGTTACATATATTTGTAGATAGGTATTGCATATGTTAGTTTTATAAGTTATCACTTGAAAGGCAGGCTATTAAACCTTCTAAAGAAAAGAATCAATCAAGATGCTGTAAACATGCTTCTGGTGTTCAAAGTGGCTAACCACCTTTTCATTTTGGCAACACTAGCATGAACACCCTACTTGATTGTAATATGTAATTTTTGGGAAGGAAATGGTTTTGCTATTGTTTGCCATGCCACTTGTTAAAATCATACACCATATACATAGTCCCATGCATAGTTTTTATTGGAATGGATACACTACAACATTGTATATTTGGGTAACCGATATTTTTGATGTCTCACTAGATACTTACAAGTAACACAGTGCAGAGCAACTAAATTTGTTTTTAAAAGGTGAAAATGTGATACTGTTTTCCGTAACTAGGAGAAATGGAAAGTTTGTGTTGCCTGCTACTTTGTATCAAAAAACATATCCAATATGTGAAAGCAGATGGCCCTTAAACTAGAAATGAGTGTTATCTAAATATATTTCAGTTTTCATGATACATGAATATCATAGGATGCTTTGGTGAAAACAATATTCCTTCAAAAAAAGCAACAGTTTGGGGGATGTCATGATATGTACACTTTCAATATACAAAATGAACTGTTCAAGAAGGTTCTAGCACAGCCCTTCCCCAGCCTCCTGGGCCCCGGACATAATCTTTTTGCCAAGTAGGATTTTTTGCTCTAGGAATTCTATTTAAGGAAAAGGAGTAACAAAAGTGAGACATACTTTATGTTTTCTGTGGGTCCTAAGATGGTTCGTCCGAGTGATGTGTCTTGATAAGCTGTGGCATGAAGATAATCAAAAACAACTTCCTGTAAATTGGTCTCAACTTCCTGCATTTCTCGGAGGATGACTCCTCGCTCCCGCTCAATCTCTGCCTCCCCCAGTGTGCTATTCTGTATGATGTCAGCAAGAATCTCCACAGCTGGAGGGAAAATAAGAGATAAAGTTGAACTGCAATACAGAAAACATTAACTTTTTTCACTACATTTCATTAATAAGCTTGCTAACTGTATCTCAATGTATGGCTGTGAAAGCTGGACCATAAGGAAGGCTGAGCACTAAAGAATTGATGTCTTTGAATTGTGGTGCTGGAGGAGACTCCTGTGAGTCACTTGGTCTGCAAGGAGATCAAACTGGTCAGCCTTAGAGAAGATCAACCCTGACTGCTCTCTAGAAGGCCAGATTCTGAAGATGAAACTCAAATACTGTGGCCACCTAATGAGAAGGAAGGACTCATTGGAGAAGAACCTAATGCTGGGAACAATTGATGGCAAAAGAAGGGGACGGCAGAAGATGAGGTGGCTAGATGGAGTCACTGAAGCAGTTGGTGTGAGCTTAAGTGGACTCTGGGGGATGGTGGAGGACAGGAAGGCCTGGAGGAATGTTGTCTGTGGGGTCACAATGGGTCAGACTTGACTTTGCGACTAGCAACAACAACTGTGTTTCAGTAATGAGGTAAGGTAAGGATTCACTACACCTTTTATACACATAAGCAGGAGGAATGACAAGCCTGCTTTATCACATTCTTTCTAAACCTGTTTAATCTGAAACAAGTCTCATGAGTGTTTCTGGAACCTTCTTCCCCATAGATATACTAGGGATTAAAATTTTGTTTTGGAATAAGTGAGTTACCGTTCTTTGAACAATTAACAAAGCTATCCTAGGGGAATGGTTCCAGCAGCTCTGCACATACTAGGCAAGTAGCACTACTGCAGCAGGGGTGAGGCACAATCAGATTTATTGGAAAGGTCCTGTATTAAACATATTTTCCTTCCAGTGACCCCAACTGCACCAGTCTATTTTTGCCATAGGATATGATTGCTGGATCAAAAGTCAGTTCTATTTGATAAAGCAACAATTCCCACCATCTTCAGCTAGCACAATTAATAGGGAGGGATGCAGGAATATGGGGGAAGGTGTGATAAAAGCATTAAGTGCAAGCAAATGCATCATTGTCAATATAGATAAGCTTAAAGTTTATCAACATTACAAAACTGCAGTTTATTGAAAAAACAGTAAAAAATAACTTTAAAAAACATTAAGAAGTTAAAGTATTTTCACTAAACTACAGTTTGCTATTAGAAAAATCAGCCCAACCTTCTTCCAGGTTTACGCTGTCTTTCCTGGCACAGTCATAAATAGCTTACAAGTTTATATATCAAATTTTAATAACTACAGAAAACTGTGGTTAATCCTAGTGTTAGGGGAACTAAGCCAGTCACAAGCCATACTTCATGAAGCTAGTTTGCTATCATTAATTACAATTAAGATTAATTGCAGTTTAGGGTTCAGAAAATATGCTTAACTATGGTTAATCAAAAACAGACGAAGTTTCCAATCTCCTCTTCACAGCAATGACAGAATTGAGAACCCAGGACTACTAAGGGGAATAAGAGATAATGCACAACCAGGCAAAGTCACATTTCCAATATTATAATAATCAAGTATGCAAGACTTCAGCTTCAAGATTGGTTGCCAAAGACAGGCCAAAAGCCAACTCAGCACATAGGACCTTGTATTTAAAATGTCAGTTGCTTGCAAGTTAAAAGCCCATTTTCAAGCTCAATTCTTTAAGGAAATAAACCACTAGAAGTCTCCCCAAATTCATAGCTACCTCTTGGTAAGTCTTTTGAGAAAGCCTTCGCATAATACACAGTTTGTTCTCTTGATGTATAAGCATTAAGGTGAGCTCCCATGTTTTCAATTTCAAGTTCTAGGTCCAACTGCGACCTTTTTTTTGTTCCCTGTGATTTAAATAAATATAATTATTTCAACTCTGGATTTCAATACAAAAAGTTAATTTTAAGCAATCATCTATTGTGTTGATCTACCAGAAAAATATAATGGAATTATCCTACATCAATGCCTCCAAACTCCAGCAAGGTTACCCTGAAAGCCTGGTGGATTTCTACTTTGCCACCATATGTTTTGGAACAGTTTTGTGTACAAGAAAAGCTTCATCTCATAGTAAGGATTGATGTGTGAGATAAAAAAAAAATACTTTCAGATATCCAGAGGAAATAGCTGCAGCCATATGTTATACTATCCCAACACAGTATATGTTAAGGGCAGTCATACATTTGTTTTGTCAACAAATTACCATAATATGAAGGGGAAATTGAAGCCTTCTGGACCCAAGGTACTAAGAGGTTTTACACAAAATCAGAAGGCAGTCCAAATCCAGTATGTAGCCCCTAAAAGCAAGCAGGTTTAGAAATCACTGCTCTGATGTCCAAACTGGCTGTCTTTTAGCTATGTAGGCATCGTCACTAAAAGGCAAATGCCTGACTGATTTCTGGAATTTGTGCATTATGTTATTATGGCAACTGGATTCTGGTAGGTAAGTAGGGCTGCTTTACTATCAGAGATTTCATATTTAACAAATGGTTATCTGTCCTGAGTTTTCAGGATAGAGCAGACTATAGTCTATTTAATTCACAACAGCAAAAAACTAAGAATAACAAGTTTGCCTCTATAATAGAGAAGGATGTACCTTTACGCAAGGTGCTTCTTTAATAAAATAAACATGTAAGATGACTTAAATGCAGTGTCCCAGGGCCACAGCACTTGATGCCATGTTATAAATGACTTCAGAAAGGTCAACATGATATCTGGTATGACAACTTTGCCTGGGTTAAGATAAACCAGCTTCAAGGACCAACAGCCCAACAAACTGAGGTAGCTATAACCATAATCAACCGCAATGACATTCAAGCCTATAGACCCAGGACTTGCAAACAAGTGCCTTCCAAGTATTTTAAAAGGAACTAACTCATCATTAGTCATGCTGGCTAGGTCTGATTAAACTTACAGTCCAAAACATCTGGCGGGCACCAGGTTGTCACACATAGTTAATATTATAGTTGTAACAAGATACAGATAGGAATGAAGTCTGACCAAGCAAAAGTTTCCAGATATGCATTTATCTTTTAGAAACGGCAGCTCATCAGAGTCCACCTGATTCCCTACAACACACGCACACAAACACACACACAGTTTTTGATTGAAAAACAAAAAGTATGCCTACTCTTAATGCTGACAGCTCTACTTGTGATTAAATATTGTGAGATGATCCTATGGTACATATTGAAAAGAGACTTCAACAAGTCCTCACAAGAATGGAACATCCCATGCAATGATGTGGCAATGCATAAAGCAGATCTTACTAAGCATGTGGCGATAGCAGCAAATTTCACTGGCCACAATCAACTATGTATAATGGAGGGATCCTTCAGAGAAGTGTTAAAAAGCTTTCTGACACAGATAAGCAATAAAGTGCCTAGCTTTCTCTTAACCTTGTGGCCATTTTCAAAATCGTTAAGCATTAAATACCTTTGGACAGTATTGCATATAAGCCAGCTGCCATAATTAGAACAAAATCTAAATTCCTTTCCTGCTTTGACATTGCTTTTGATTGCCTAATAGAATTTTCGCTACTGAATTAAAGATGAACACAAATTAATATTTAATTTTAAAAGCAATATGAGAAAGCTGCTTTGAGGACTTGCCTTAAAAGCCATATGCTCCAGGAAATGAGCTGTTCCATTGTTTTTTTCATTTTCATATCTGCTTCCAGCGTCGATCCAAAGTCCCACCTCAATCAAAATAAATTATTAGTCTTACCAAAATATAAAATATTGCTCACAACACACTGGGGCAGCGGAGTATTCACTTTGCTCCAAAGTGGCAATGGAGCTACAAGAGTAGAAGTCCAACTTTTCAATGCTCTTGCAGTGCAATCCTATGCAAGTTTAAACAGAAAAGGCCAGCATGGCCAGCTGAGGAATGCTGGTAGTTGTAGGCTTTTTTCTGTCTACAGTTGCATAGGATTACTCCTTACTCTCATAAATTACAATTCCGTCTTTTAATATAACCCAAGATATTATAGTTATTGATACATGCTTCTAATCAAACATATTCCGCTACCATTACTCACAAAGGATGTAATATTGTCCTTATAAAAGTCAATACACCAAGAGTAAATTAAGAGAAGTATTACTCAATAGTAAGTAGAGCAGAAACAGCAGAGGAAATTATGAAAGAGAGCTGGAAGAGTATCAAAGGTAGGACTATAATGAATTAGAGATATCCAAAGAGTCTTCTCCCATAAATTTTAGGAAATTCTTAATTTTCATTTTTTTTCCTGAGCGACACATTTTTCTGAAAATTACAAGTTGTTAGTACATCCCCATTTATACTAGGTATTTTGCTTATATCTGATAAAAACTACTAACCATCTGCAGTCTCCCTATACCAAATCACAAACATCTGAAAAGGTACATGGAGCTGACACCTGGCAAAGCTGCATGAGCATTCTGCGCAAATTAGATCTGCAGATCTCCCTTGCAATCTTATTGGTCAAACAATCAGCCTGAATTTTATTGTTTAGAACCAAAAATTCTTGCAATATCACCAAGAAAGAGACAGCAACCACATACACAAAAGATCCTGTTCTCATTGTCTAAAACTACTATCTAGTACATACAACTACATGAATGTAGATAGTTCTACAGAGTTTAAATGTCTTTAGGATAACACTAAGGCAAACTGATCCCAAGAGCACCCCCATCACAACTACTCTTTAGCAGAAAACCCTATTCTTAATCACCAGATGATGACTTAACATGATCATATTATAGGTCTACCCTGTTGCATGAGTTTTAGACCTTCTTTGTATTCAACATTAATCTTACTTAAAATAGGCATATTGTAATAAATCTGACAAGTGAGATTGATGTTTAATACAATCTCTTGGATGTTTAATACAATCTCTTGAAATATGGTGGGCATGTCACGAGCAGAGCCGGCTGGAGCCAGGGGTCAGACTAGATGGCCCGGGAGACCCCTTCTGACTCGCTCTGTTTCTATGTTTCTATTATTATTTATATAATTTCTATACTGCCTGTACGGACTGCAGGTGGCGCAGTGCTTTAAACTGCTGTGCTGCTGGGCTAGTTGATCGAAAGGTCGCCGGTTCGAATCTGCACAATTGAGTGAGTTCCTGTTGCTCTGTCCCAGCTCCTGCCAACCTTGCAGTTCGAAAGCATGCAAATGCAAGTAGATAAAAAGGTACCGCTTCAGTGGGCAGGTAACAGCATTCCATGCACTTCGGTGTTTAGTCATGCCGGCCACATGACCATGGAGACTGTCTGCGGACAAATGCTGGCTGCCTCGGCTAGGAAACGGAGATGAGCACCACTCCCTAGAGTCAGGCATGACTGGACTTAATGTCAAGGGGAAACCTTTACTTTACCTTTATACTGCCTGTAACCAAAGCTCTTTGAGTGGTTAACTTCTAGTACCAGCATGCCAGCACAGGGGGTAATCACTGCTATTCTACAACTGTTTTCTTGGTGATACAGTGATCCATAAGTTCAGACCTTAACATAAACATTTTTACTCTGCCAGATATAAAACACTGACATTAAGCATTCTATTAAAAACATATACACCCACTGCAGCACCATTCTGAGCCAAACTATATTGGAAGTCTTCTTGATTTCTGTGACATGTATTTCCATGTATGTGTTTTAAAGATTAAAGTTTAAACATTGCTCTTTTCAAACCATAAGATTAGAGTGGTACCTTGGCTCACAAACTAAATCCATTCCACGACTCTGGTTGTGACCCAAATTGGTTGTGACCCGAGTCAAATTTCCCAATAAGATTCAATGCAAATAAGGTTAATCGTTCTGGCCCCTCCAAATGAGGTTGTGAGCCAATTTTTGGTCATGAGCCAGGACAAATTTCCCCATAAGGTTCAATGTAAATAAGGTTAATCCCTTCTGTAACTATTTTTAATGAAAAAAATTGAAACAAAGTGACAAAGAACAACAAAGTAACAAAGTACTGTACAGTACAGTGGAGAACACTAACCTAGGTGAGGGGGGGAGATTATTGTTTTGAGGGAGAGTCCCCCACCATAAGGACATTGGGGAGATCTCTTTCACGGGTTTCCTCTCTTTGTCTCTTAGTTGCAGAGTCAATTTTGGTGAAAAATCTGTCTAGTCATTTGTTTTTTGTCATTTGTCATTATAGTCATTTGTCATTTGCGCTGCATAACCCTCCAGAAATGAGAGACCATGTCATTGTTCATCAGATTCAACACTCTGTTCGTTATATTTATGTTGGGGTGGTGCTTCTCAAAGAAACCCTGGCAGGGGCGCGCTCCTGCAGAAAAGACGGGTGCAATTTCGGCCATCTCCCCACCCCACCCCCAAGGATTGCAGTGAGGCTTGCAGTTGCGTTCGTGCAGGGAAGACGTGCGTGATCACGGGTGCACTCCTGCAGGAAAGACGGGTGCAGCACAGCACAGTCATAATCACACGTGTTCCCTGCACGAACGCGACTGCGATTGTGGCCATCTCCACGGCGGGGTGGGGAGATGGCTGCGATCTTGGTTGCCACCCAAAGTGGAGTTCGTGACCTAAGTAAAAATTTTCATGAAATTTCTGTTCGTGACCCAAGAAGTTCTTGAGCCAAGGTACCACTGTAGTCTGAAAATGGAACAATTTGGAGGGGACAGGGGAGTATTTTGTTTTACTCACAACTATTACTTACTGTGCATGTTGAAAGACCAGAATCTTCCGAGGCTACTCTCAGACCATTTTCAAGAGAAGATACCTTTGTTTCAGGAACATTTAGGGCAATTTGGGGGGCTAACTTGGTAGCTCTGAAGCGGCATCTCCCAAGATGAAGAGACTGTTGGAAAAAGTGTCATGTGAAATGTTCGCCTGCTCTTGTAAACAAAAAAATTCATCATAAAATTGTGCAAGAGAAATGAAAGCTTCTGTATGAGGCTGGTGGGCGGCAAACCCATCTCAGGTGTTAATGCATGAATGAAGGTGTCACGGGGCTGTATTAACTGCTTCTTCACCAGCCACACATCTGCCAATTGTGAAAAGAGGGCTTACTGGCATACTGAGGATCACACTGGCGATGAGAAATATTTCCATGATTTTTTTTCCATTTCATAAGTTCATTAGTTACAATAAATGGATGCCAATCCCATGCAAATCTAGCAGTTTCAAACTTGTAATTAATGCTTTTCAGGTAACTAATCCTAGCAACTATGTGACAAATAATATATGCACTGAATTACATATATGTGTGTGTGTGTGTGTGTGTGTGTGTGTGTGTATCAGTGTAAAATAGAAGTAATAAGTGATAGCAGTTAAATCAGTCTCAGTGGAAAAGGGTTGAACTCTGTTAAAATAGAGGAGTGGTGGTCAGAATATCACACGCAGGTCTTTAGGTTGCTAACATTAATAGTCCAGCGATCCCAACCTGGTGCCCTCCAGATGTATTGAATTACATCTCTCAGCATTCCCACCTAGCCAAGCTGGATGGAGGATGCCAAGAACTTTGATCCAACATATTTGGACATAGTTTGTATATCACAGTGTATTCTTATTCTCCCCCACAAAGATTTCAGATATTTGTAGTGTACTGGGTCACAAAGGCAACACGGGATACTTTTTAGCTTTGTTGCTTACTAAATACAAATTAAATAAATATGCTAAATCCCATCACTCTGTAGGGCAGCCTTCCACAACCCAATGCCCTCCAGATTCTTCAGTTCCATCAGCCTCAGCTAGCAAAGCCAATAGCCAGGAATTCAAGGAGTTGTGGACCAGAGCACCTGAAAAGCATCAGCTGGGGAAAGGCAGCCCCATTTCAGTGCAAATGACTCTATGCCAATTAACCTAGTTTGCACTGCAAAGCTGTCCAGAAATCAGTCCAACTCAAAATCTTCTGGAAAACTTCTCTGGCTTACAAGGAGCACTACACAAGAAGGAAAGGGATTCTGTCATCTCAGAGAAGAGCTCTACACATAGGTATGGGCACAGTCATAAGGCTGTGGTTGGACCCAATGACCTTCTGGCCCCTTCCAACTCTACTATTCTATGATTCTATGCTTTTAATGCTTAGGTAGGTTCAACCTACACCCCGTTCATAATCCAGCATAATAGGGACATGTGAAGACTCAAGCCGGAGACTAATATTTTGAGATAAAGCAGGAATTAACAACTCCCTGGACCTCCAGATGTTCTGGCCTACAACTACCACCAACCCAAAGCAACGGCTATGCTGGCTAGAGCTGACAGGATTTAGAAGCCAAAACCTGGAGGAGCAGAAGTTGCCCATCTCTGGAACAGCATCTTCATCATTCAGATTTGATATTGTTTTCAATGTCAAATCCTGAGTCAAAACTAAGCCACTGTTCTTTCCCACTACTAAACGCTTACTGAAGCGCTGGAGATTAAACAAGATGTCCCACGCAAGGTCATTGAGGTTGACTCTTGACCTAATTACTTTGTTATTAGCAGTATAATTAAAATCAGTGCAGAACTAGGACAACAATATAATTGTTATCATCATCATGAAATCTCTGATGATGACCCTCTGTTTACAACCATCCTTCCTGACCATGTTGTGTCAATGAGCAAAGTATGTTTCCCAAGCCTTACTGTCTTTGACAGTGATGCAGTCCTATACAAGGAGAAGGGGTGCTATATCTGGTTCATGTAGACACTTTATGAATTCTGTTGTGGAATCAATGCACTTTCCATCTGCTCATACTGAATTTTTTATTCATATCCTGTCTATTTTCCTGCAAGAAACGCAAGGCAACACCCTCTTCCTCCTCCTATTTTCACAACCACCCTGTGGGATAAGTTAACCGGAGGGTCAGCGACTAATTCCTGAGCTTTGGCACAACTCCTGAGCCAGCAATAAGCATTAGCGTTCCCAGTAACGATGCACTGATGAATCCACGGGTCGTGCCTTCACCCTGCAAGCACGGAGAGAAGCCACGCACATCGCGCCATCGTTCCTGCCAGAAGACTACGTGTCCCAGCATGCACTGCGACGAGGACGAGAATGCGGGGCGGGGAGCGGCGTCCCCGAATATCAAGAGCACCGGCCGCATTTAAGGACTGCCCACGGAGCTGGCTAGCCGTGGGCAGTCGCGCGTGATAAATCCGTTACTCACCCGTTTCCCCGAGCCCCGCGCGATGAGGTGGCCCGGCAAGGCCCAAAGGAGCCGCCTCCCCGCCAGGCAGCCGGCTTTCACGGCCGCCGCCATTTTAACGCAGGAGCAAGAGCTCAGGAGCATTTCCGGGGGAGCGTGTCGTGTACGGAAGGGAGGGATCGGGGGATGTGGGCATCAAACAATTTGATCGTAGTTTTTGCGTGTCTTTTTTTGTGTGCCAAGCATCTCCATCTCTCGCCCCCCCCCCCGTTTGCTTGTTTTAAATACCCTGAAATAACACATCGCATCTGTTGCGGAGCTCCTTAATTAAATGTCCCTTTCAAGACTTCTTTTGGAGGCTCGTTGCGACATAACCACGTCGCGCGACTCACGATGAGATGACAGAATCGCCAAGCCATAAAGCGCTTCCCACAAATCCAGTAGGTTCTCGTTTAAAATGGGCGGATTTGATCGGAAACGTAAGGTTTATTTAAAATTACGCCACGCTCTCACGCTTTGTGCCTTGTTTCCGCAACGAGGAGGAACTAAAATTCGTGGGACCTACGTTTGAGCAAACCATCTTCTTTGAGCCTGGTTCTCCCAAAGCCCAGTAGTCTCTCCATTCATGCTACTTCAGTCGCAATGCACCTCCACACAAAAACATTCCTTCAGCAGAGAATTCACAATGTTATAGGTCATAATAAATTGAAATAATGTTCCAACAAATAATTTTAAACAAGGTTGAAACAAGCACTATGAATAGTTCAGCTTTGTGAGGAAAACTAATACTTTAATTACTAAACTATAAATTATTACAAATTAATAATCAACAGAAGCTGAAAAATGGAGTGCATTTGAAGACTTCCACCTTGATGCTAACTAATTTCTTTTTGGAGTCTTTCCCATTAGGTGTCCCTAGCCCTACATTTAACATCTTCACCCACATTGACTTCATACTAGCGAATGTCTCATACCCATATATTTCAGTAACAGTAGAAATCTGATGGCCTCTGAACCAACACCTTAAAAGATACACTTTATTGATCTTCAATATGAAAAATTAGAGGTCAGGTAAAGCGGCTTTAACATGCCCCATTATAATAACCCTGGCATCTTTTATGGTAAAGTACTTCATCAAATGATTCCACCACTTCCTGAAATAGCAGGGGACACTTATTTCAGCCATATCATCTGCTATTTTGTAAAAACTAGGACTCTGGATTGCACTGGACATCCCATTGGTTTTACTAGAAAAGGTTTAAGCAAGTATTAACTCTTAGCAGTAATTTAGGTAGCAGTCTTACATATATTTGCATAAGAATCCCATTGAGCTAAGTCCTCCTGACTTAGGGCTGAGTAAACATGTTGAATTGTGCTACACATGTGTTTAACACACGTGTGCTTAAGTGACTTAACTTGTATAGATAGATTTTGCATGACAACTTGAATTTCTAAATATTTAAGTTTCAACAACAAGTTGTCATCAAATGAGAATTTCAATATTCCTGTATTATTCTTGCAGAGCCACATTCAGGCTTGTGCAGAGAGAAGAACAGTAGATCATTGGAAGAGTAAAGAATTGTATAATATAACATTTCTCAAATTTACGAAAACAAGTTTTAAAATTTTGAAATTTTAGCATGCATAAGCTTATACAGTATCTAATATTGAATGTAGATACATGATAGGGTTTAACAATGAAATTGAGTTCTTTTGTATAATAGGTCTAAGTAATAAAATTGTGCTCATAAGTTCTAAGGAAAGGCTTCCTGTTCAATCACATGCACTTGAATCCTTAGATTTGAAAGTATTTGGAAGCTTTATTCTTAGCCCAAGCTGATGCTGTTAGATCAGATATAGATGCAAGCCAGAAATTAAAATACTCACTTAAATGTACAAATAACAAAACACTGAAATCAGTATATTCCTCAAAATGTATTTAGAAACTGTGGCAAAATCACAAATGTGTATGTTTTGGGAGGGTGTATTCTTTACATAGGCATAATCTTGATAGATTGGGTCTGAAGAATGCCATCCCACTTTGATTTGATGTGTGCAGGCTTTACTTCTGAGCAGCCCTATTGTTTTGATCCAATTTAGATAAGTTCAGTGTACCTAACAATGTGTTTGTTCATACACCTTTGCCAGGTTAGGGGATGTAAGTATGCATGCAAATACCAGTATGAACACTTATGTCTGTCTGCATTTTTACTTTGAGTTGGATGGATGTCCACATTTCTGGGGCAGCTAGTCTTGGATAACTAAATGCAATTCAAACTGGAGAAATGTAAATGGCTACAGATATCAGATTTTCTTTTTTAAAAAAATACTTCAAGTAGTAGATTTACTTGTTCTATTGAGTATGTGTTATTTTGCAAATTAAGATTGTGCCAGTGGTGCTCTGCCCATATTACATGTGCATAAGTCCCTGCACAAGTGTAATGTGCAAACAGTTGTGGTACCAACTGTGCAAAGCATGATGTATAATGGCTTGTATAAGCATACTACACAACTGCTCATGTAAACATGCTTGCTAGCTTTATTTGGACTCTCTTGTGCATAGTTTCTTCTAACACAATGTCTTTTGTGCTAGTGAAATGCCACAGTTGGATAATGTTCCATAAGACTTACTCTCAGTTAAGAGTGCATAAGATTGCATATTTTCCTTATCAACAATGGTTATGGTTTGCTTATGGCACATATCTTGCTAGTAGTAAATTATTATTATTATGACACCTATAAAACATACCTAGATATACACATACACAGAAAGTAAAACTCTTATTCAACAGACTGACATTTTTAATGCCATAACAGAAACGTTATCTTAACTGTTAAGTAATCTCCAGTTATCCAGATTCATTGCATCTCATATACCACAATGTCAAGTGTCCTTCTATAAATGGAATATCCATTTGTTTGAAAATCTTTTTTCTAAGCTTATTGGAAAAAAGGCTGATTCTTATATTCCAAAAAGCATAAAATCAAGTTGTTCTATTTATGGAATTATCTAGTTTAGTTAACTTTAAAAGGGGACTCAGCAAAGTTTTTGATTGGGTTTGTTATGAGGAAAACAGGATGCTTACTCTTATGTTCTCATAAGTTAAATGCCAGTGTTCTAGATCAATGTGCATATGCATGCTTGCATACATGGTTATGGAAGGGGGAAGAATGAAATACCATAGCACCAAAAACCTAAACATGTCAAAGGTCTTAACAATTTAAGTTATTTGAAACTATGTTGCTATGTTTACAAATGCAAGTGAATTCATGAAATTTCTGAATTACTAACCTCTAAGGGACTTGACTGTTTTCAGGTATAAACCACCATAACTCAGGATGAGGAAGGGACCCTTTATAAGACCTTTTCAGTGGCTGCACCTGAACTTTGGAATTTTGTTCCAAAAGACACCCATCTTATTGTCTTATAAATTGTTCTTTTTAGAAGATAATGAAAAATTTTCTTTGCAGGAATGCATTTGGAATGTACTTTTTCTTTTTTTTACTACTCCCTGGTTTCTACACCAAATTTAAATTTCAGCTGTTTTTCTGCCTTTTTCTGTTAATTCTTGCTGCTGTTCTAATGTTTAATATTTTAGTGCTGATTTAATATTTTAGTGTTAATAAAGGGTGGTTTAAATTGGGGTGTACAGCTTCTTTCAGCTTGAGGAGCAAATTTTATTTCAGAGACTCTCTTGGGGGCTACATTCTAATGGTGAGTGAACCTTAAGACAAAAGAAACAGGGCAAAAAAATACCAGCATATTTCATTTTAAACCTCTTATTACCAATTGCTAAGACTTAGAGCAGGTATTTCAACTTTTTATAATGGGGTCTTGCAGAAAAACCAAGAAATTACTAATTGTCCATGGTGCATGAAAGGGGCAAAGTCAGGTAAAGGGAACATAAATAAACATATTCTGGAACAGTCATGTTTTAATTATATCTGAATATGAAGCAAGTTTATGGTTTGTCTTTCCTAAGAGTTTCTTTATAGATTGCTCAGCTTGCCAGTTGCTGTGATAAGAATTTAACTTCAAGGCAGCCGTAAGCCTGCAGTTAGGCAGAGTCATGATATAATTTGCAAAGCCAAGAAATGTTCTTCTGGGGGTAACTGGAGTGTCCTACTGCATGACAGTTACCCCATCATAAATAGCAGAAAAATACCATGTCTGTGCAATGCAGCAGGGATAACTGTGACAAATCACTGAGCTACATATTCTCTCATTATTAATACATATTCTGAAGAGTCATTCAAAATTAACTTTGAAGTAAAGTACCACTCAAATAGTCTAAACCATTATTTGAAGAGTTAGAGTGTCTTGCCAGGGAATTTTATGTCAGTATAATGGGTGAATGATTGTACAAACTCTTATATTTCATGGAAATCATTTGCTGCAGTTACATCATGTATTGAGCAGCTGTTCATTATCATCTTCTAGTGCATTTCCTTTTATTATCTGTGCCTTGTTTCCCAACAGCACACAGTTTTTCTTTCCCATGGTTGATTAACAGAAAGTAACTACAAAAAGCCTCCAGGCTACTGACATCTATTCTTTGTTCTTAAGAGTTGTAAGAACTTTCTTTTTTTAAGGAGTTAAGATTGCTCTCTCAGGCTGCAATGTCAGATCTGTTCATTAAAAGGGAGCTTCTTTTGAAGACCATTAATTTCTTTTCAAGGAGTAACCCTTTTTTACCAAACTGCATTGTTCAGAAATGTTAAAATATTGAGAAAAGCTATGTTCTCCCCTGCTTTGATGGGGTACTTTCACATATGCAACTACGGCAACCATCATAGTTGCTCATGGTGTCTGTAGTTTAATTTATTCAGTACATTGTCCATGACCAGAAGCTTATGCTTATTGTGTTATTTACTAGTTAGAGACTAAACTTCCAGACAAAATGTCATTGACCTGACAGCTTACTTATTGAACTTTTCCAGAAACTGCCTAATGGAGACCCTACCCTTTATCCACATTTCTAATTTGGAAAAAAAACATCCCTTTTGCTTCACATTCTCTGGGGGAAAATACAGCAGGAAGACCATATGGAATATCTATATCTTGTTCAGCCAATCTTAGTTTTCTACAATTGTTCTTTTAAGTTTATTTAGCTTTGCTCTAGCTGCTGTACAGAACAAA